GCTGTGTAGGCAGAAAATAAGCGGCAACTCCGGTCCACGTTTTGCATATTACTTGGCGTCTTTTTCCAAGGGCGATACTGTTCAACGTGTTGTACGAATACGTTCAACCACTACCTCCTTGTCCTCCATCGAAGGAGCACTTGTTCCCGTTTCCCTTCAGCGCAGCAAGAATATTAGGATTACAAAGTGCGTTAGATCTTTTCAAGCAATTTATTCTTTCGAAAACATCGTAATGTGCAAGAAAAATCGCCAGTTCTCCATCTGTTGGCAATGAAGGTTCTGATTGACATCCACCACATCGAGAACTTCGTTAAAGTTCCAGTCCATGACGGAAATAACGTGGAAAGGTATCCGAACGATATTGCAGTTGTTGCAATTGCACAAACAACTGGCTACAACAAGCCAGAACTTTATGAAGTACCTATCACTGTCGCTATTGGCCATGACGAGCGGTCTGATTCCCTACTTTGGCTTCGTTGCGATTGTTGCAGCCTCTGCAACACCGGTGAAACTCGTCCGAGGATACGCAAGGTGCAATTTTTGAGCCTTTTAACGCCCTATCTAGGCCGTTTTCAGGTATGGCAGCGTCACATACGGCATACGGGGACCCTACTAATTCATTCTGGCGGGATATCTCAGGAGTCATTTTTATCGTGAGCTGTGCCTTCAAGTCTTGCCCACTTATCTAGTTCCTTTCTATGAGTCACTCAGAATCACGAATGACTCGCAAACGACCTATTTCAGCAGTCCAATCTTTGGAAACGCTAGCCTTCCTACTATTCCCCAGTTTATCTTCGATTGCTTCTGCTTCTGTATCGTTAGACAGCTTTTCAAACGGTCAGTATTGTTACCACGGAAAATTTTGCATTGCCCATTTCGCCTCTTGCATGCGAATGATTGCAAGTGGCATTGGAAGAGCCTTCTCCCTTGAAGATACTGAAGGTCTCACTTTAGTTACTGTGCATAACGCAAAAAGACCTATTTATGCAACTAACCATCAGCAAATAAAGTTAAATTATTTAACTGTTTTTGCCTTGAAAGTTTCTGAATTTTGGCGCTCTTAATCTTGAGAGATCCTGTGCATTTTTGAGACATTTTTTGTTCACATTATAGAATGGTTTTTTACCGGAATTATGAAATTTTGGTCTCAGCTCCGCCCGCCTCAGTGCATGCCCACCCACTTTGAGAATTTGACCAAGTTTCTTCTATAACTTTAATCAATTTTACCTCATTCTAGAGCTGGACAAAGTTGTGCAACTCTTCAAGAACTAGCTCCCTTCTGAACGCAAGCCTCTCCCATCAGTGGGGTGTTCGCTGAGTTCACTCATGCCTAGCACGTATGAGACCTTGTTTACTCCTTTTATTTTTCTAGCCCCCACGTCATCGCTAGGTCGAGATGTGAATTCACGCGGAAAGGACCGGAAACGCTTCGAACACCGCGGGAGAATCTCGTTTATTCCATATGTTGGCCCATTTCTCAACTTTGCTCATTCTTTGCGGCCTCTGGACTGTCTGTTGTGGGACGAAATTGGTCGTGCCCATAGCACTGCTTGATTTCAGCGCATGTCCCACCAATTTGGAGCAGAGCTTCGCTAGGCTTACATGACCTTTGTTCTTCTTAGGCTATGCTCAACCCACTGTAATCTTGATCCTCTCCACGCGTTTCTTCAGGTAATATCGGATTCGTGATATACAGACAGTCAGACAGACGCGAGCGCATTCTATATGTATATGGTTGGCCAGAAAGTTCTGCGACAAAAAATTCAAACAAAAATTGTATAAACAATGCGAACACGGTAGGGAGTGTGATAAACCAGTGTGGTAAAGTTATGAGCGTCACATAAGGCTTTCGCAACATTACCGTCAATGAATAGGCAGCACTCGATTAAAACCATCATCTTCCCCTTCTAGCCGCAACGGCTCAAATTAGCGATATCCTAGTCGAGCGCTGAGATCAACAGTTTTTTGGATCGCTTACTTGCAGGAGGCACTAGCCTTCGAAGTAATGCAACGAAGGCCAAATTGTCACACCTATTGATTACACCTATAAACCCCATATTTGGCCAACGCAGGTGATGAAAGGCGTCTGGAACCATAACACAGGTCCCTACATAAGGACGCGCACGTCGAAATTTCGTTTCAGACACCCGTCAAGGCTCATCGACTTTAATCGGTTGCAAATTGTTCGTCATTCGTATTCCCCGAATGTTGTTCATCTTGATTACCATGTGCTTTGCCTTCTCAAGTGTCTCTTCGTTGAAGAAAAAGTTCGTAACTTAACAATGTCCGACAACGGCAGTCAATTTCTCCTTTGAATCGCAGGTCCCTATCTACTGGACAAATGGCATCAGTGATTTGCTAAAGGGATAGGATAAGAAGAACAAAGAGTGAATATATTCTCAGTGATTGATCAGTCTGATAATTCCAGAAATGAGTTAAAAAGGTCCCCATTTCGTCGTAGATCTTTTTTGCCAACCTAGTATAATAAGGTTTACAGCTTCGAAAAATGACTGGAGATGAGGTTATATTACTGGCTGGAGATGAAATTATATTATTTGTCCGCTTGTTGAGGGCTGCATGTTTTACATGAGCAACAGGAAAATTATCCATTTTTCTCCGTAAGACGGTAATCTGAAGTCGGCCCAACTAAATGTGTAATTCGAACCAATTGTTGTCAAACCAGACCAGGTTATATCAAGTCAAGTCTACATATTAAAACTGCGGTTGAATATTCGTTGAAGAGTTTATTTAAGAAGGTTAGCACTCAGATTGTTAGGAATTTCGCCCAAACCTGAATTACTTCTACAGGGCCTATCTCCTGGGTTATCAAGCTTGCTAAAGGGTCAAACGTTATTCCAAATGTAATATGTCGTCGTGGATTGTCTCAAAGAAGCTAAAGCATTCATGCGAAATCGTAGGGTGAATATAATAAATGTTAGCCTTACCCACAGAAAGGGAATCAGTTCCGATTGAAATTGCTTTGCACATTTTATGACAAATCTGTGCCCTTCTTCTGTCCGAAAACTGTTCCTTTTCTTGAACGAGTGGCATGNAATCAGTTCCGATTGAAATTGCTTTGCACATTTTATGACAAATCTGTGCCCTTCTTCTGTCCGAAAACTGTTCCTTTTCTTGAACGAGTGGCATGTGATTTCGGTTGTAGGCAAAAAACAGAAGTGTCTGAAGCACAAATGACGCAGGTATGACGTAAAAAGCTGGTGCTTTGTTCTTAGCGCTTTGACTAACTGAAAAGTTGTTTGCCTTACCTACCAGAAGTTAGTTATGAGTATCAAAAGCGGGCTACTTAAAGGAACAGCTCACGATAGTTCTGTATTATCCAGGTCATGACGGAAAGTGAAAGAGAAAGTGCACAGTAGTGTGATGGAGGCGACGAAAGCACGCGAGTCGGTGATTCTAAAGTGACAAAAGACTTCGAAAACGTCTCTGTAAAGGGACTGGGCGAAAACAAGACCAGAAAAATGAAGTAGAAAGGGTGTTAAAAAGAGCTATACATTATGTGTCGTTGCGTATGTGTGAGTCCTGGTGCGAGTAGATGACTACCAAAGGCGAAATTGTTCAGTCATTACTCTCGAAATAATATTGACCGAAGCAGCCGAAAGAATGACAGAATAAAAGTGAAACGTCCTTCTCCACTCGGCGATCAGCTGACTCCGTGTGCGCTTCGTTGCGCGCGTTCGTCGAAACTAAGTCACGCCGCAGTCGTCGCACGCGGCGTGTCACCCCGCGATTCTTGAAAAGCGTCGCATTTGTCAGTGGTGCAGACGAATTGCGCTCTGTTTATGACAATCACTTAAAGTGAAGACAAGAAGGACTAGTGCGAATCATTCGCCCCACTGACACTTAGTGGTACTGTAATGTAATCTCGATCGGTGGGCTGCGCTGCGTGCGAAGTGGACGGGGTGACCTAGTTTTGACGGACACGCGGAACGGACGTTCCCCGTTTATTTCATATTGAATGTCTGGATCCTGGTGCGAATAGTGCGAACTGTATCGCCTTGACACTCGTCTAACATATCATCGGTCGATGGGCGTGGACGTCGACGAGTCCGGTAATGGGGCTCATACTGTGCTCTTTCTTTTGAGATTTTCGTCCCATCAGCGTCCATTGAGACGCTTGGGGCCACTGGGTAGTTCTATGAGAGGGTCGTAAGAATCATTTTTATTATAAACTGTGCCTTCAAACGGTGAAAGTCAAGTGCCTTTATGTGCTTTACCAGCTCCAAATCAAACTCTGTGTCGTAAACTTACCAAAGAGCTGGGAAAGTGAGCGGTTAGAATTAAGGGTTTTTTCAATCAAGTCCTCGCTCTGAAAAACCTCGCTAGGAAACTTACAGACTGACATGGGCTTGTTTATATTCCACTGCTTTTCAGATACTACCATAAACAAAGGTCTTGATTTATCTACTTGTGCGGTGGCAGATCTTATTTAACATATCCTAGTTTGGTAATGTGTCGAAACAAAGTAGTTCCTATAAGCCGATAGTTCAGGAGACCGCCAAAGGCACATTGTTCAAGATAATAAAAAAGAACGCCAAATTTTGGAGTGTAAGCCACGGCGTAAAAGGTTCATAATGAAATCATTGATAAGCAATTAAGGGTAAATTGATAAGGTAAGGGCATTGGAAATACTGGTGGTCTGGCTTATATCGATCCAAGGTTCAACCACTGTAACAAACGTGATAGCGGCGCCCCATAGCTCAAGATCAGCTGAATCAAGAAATAATCAAAATCAATCCAGTTGTATTGGTAAGTATGTTGATAAGGCGGTGTTGATAACCATAAAACTAATTTAATAATTACAATGATGGGGTTTGTGGGCGGTTGTACTGATGATAGTGGAATTGAAAGCGGGTAGATAATACAAATACTTATTACAATATCATTACCACTAATAATGCTGCCATTATTCGGTTGCAGCAACGTGGTGTCGATAGTAATATTGGGTGAATAGTCAACAGTGTACGAGTACAGCTGCAGTGATGATGGCATATGCTTCACTGAGATATTCTTTGCTTTCAGAAGCGGAACAAACACGCCAACCAGTGAATCTTCTCGAGTGGTTGGGTACACGGGTTTTGGCACGAGTCTCGGGCGATGCTTATCAACCTGGTTCAATCAAGAATGTTCATGACAACAGGGACGTCGTTGTACAGGTTGGAATGATGGAAGTAAAGTCGCTCGAAATCTAACTCGAGCGAAATCAAGTCTCAACACAATCACAACCAATTTGTAGGATTTCCGTGTCATATTTCCTAGATGGCTCACAAAACAAGAATCCATAGAACACTGCTACTTCCATTCATTTTTCCAAAAGTTCTGTGAAGCTGTCACGTACGCATCACTTATTTAGCCTATTGGGTTGTAACATAAGTTCGTAGAGTTTTGCGTGAGAGTTATTT